ATAAAAATATATATATTTGAAATGTGTAAAGGAACAGTTGTACAAAGAGAAAGGACCTCAATCAAAATGGGTAATGTCAATGAAGCAGAATGAATTCATTCAAATCAACTTGTATAAATGGTTGCCTAATCTTTTACAATGATTTCACGAGTCTTGTTTAATTGTTTGATCACTTACCTTTAAACAATTCCAAGTAAATGCAGACCAAATAATCTCAAAGCAGTGTCATCTGTAGTGCTGATTCAACAACTTACTTTTCATTTTAAGGTTCTTACATTTTCAGGAACTGAACCCCTTTTGCTTTGTGTCGTTTCACTTCTTATTACCATAAATTATATTGTGAAAGAAATTCACAAGAGGTCCAGAAGGAAGAAGGATGTGAAATTAAGGAAGTTGAATGTTGTAATCAGTCAACAGAAGTGTTCTTAAAAATCTTTGAGAAGACAGAAACTTCCAGAAAATATACTAGGAAGGGTCATAAAGTTGCGAGACTATCAGATTTGGTACAAGCAAAAGAGTACATAAGGATGCATATAGAAAAAGTTGATCTTAAACAGACATGCCACATATGTATCAGATATGATACAGTAGGCTAATATATTCCTAAACAGACAGTATAATTATTGTTCAACACAACAGAATAAAATGTTTTAAAAAATGTAGCTAAAATGTTGTAACATGCATTACCAAATAAGTATTGTGTTTTCAATCAATTTATACCCCCAAATGGGCCACTTATTATTGGGGATACAAATATTAAAATAAAAAATAAAAGTCATGTTTTAAAAAAATAATAATTAGTTCGTATTATTTGTGTCCTAATAAGGTGGAAAAGAGCAATAAATGAACTTTATTTCTCTTTATGGTCTTGGTCTATGGTTAATCATTCAAATCTGAAAAAAAAAAAAAAAAAATTTTTTATTAAATTTAAAAGAAAGAAAGAAAAGTCATTGAAACCAATGTTTTCTTTGCATTTGCTTCTGACATAAATGGTTTTATCATCCTCATCTTCCCCAGGAAAAAGTAAATTCTTTGGCCTGAAGAATAACTTTGTTATATCTTTGAATATATTACATTAAATATATATTATCACAAATCATACATAAACGACTAACACCCTCGTCATTTGGCTTATGGTAGTTTTAACTTTTTAAATTACACTGTAAACACTTATTTGAAGACAATGTGAGAAGACACTATTTTTATGAAATGTAAATGCACAAAACGTTTACACCATATAAAAAGGGTGCACCTAAATATTAACTACAGATTCCATGCTCCATAGAACTGTATGAATACTGCCAAAAATCTCTTAACCCTTGTGTGGTGTTCATATTTTTGTTGTTCAGCCAGTGTTCGTGGGTCTGGTGTCCCGCTGCATTTTTTTGGTTTTTAATTCAACACAATCAAACAAATACTCATAACAGATGTTTACTTTATCCTAATTACAATCAATATAAACAGCATATATGGTTAAAATTTGCCCTTTACCTTTGGTAGATCACATTTATGAATTAAAGTGCTACTCGTTTTTTGTTAGTTTTTTTAATCAAATGTAATAATAAAAAAATATATTTTTTTAATAATCAAGAGTTTTTCATAACTATTGATTTTTATTTATTTGAACTTCTTTAGAAATTTAACCCATTCAGGTCAGTTTACACAACACAAGCTGAACACATACAGTTACCATGTCAGTCTATGACACATCAGCCCCATTGAACACATTGCCTTTTCCTACCAGCCTATACAACACATGAAGGGCAGAGTTTTACTGTGTGTGTGTGTGTTGCATATGTACTTCTTGCACATATATTGTGTTTTACTGTCCATCTTGGGTCCACACACTTCGCAGTGCTTCTTTGTGTTGCTGCTGGCCTCAACCTAGAATGATGAAAATATCAGGAATCCACCCTCTCCAAAAACATGTGTGATGATGAACACGTTGGTTACCATCACGTGAACATCAGTTCACAGTGTTATTGTGTATATTGATTTACTGTTTGTTATGATTATGATTTGATGTATATGGAGACGATGTCATGTCTAGTGTTCAAATTGTATTTTGCAGTTGAGTACAAGAATCCAACAGAGACTTTGAAGTTTTCATATTTCTTTTATTGTGCATATGTTTATTGTTTAATACATTTCATAGTATAACTTACCTATCTGGGGGGTATTCCAAAAAGCAGGTTATGTGACATACCCGGGTATGTTTGAGGATAAGCATATCTATATATGTCTAAATTCTAAATCAAAATACAGATCTGATATGACTTAATGTATAATTAGCATCAAACAAACAATATAATTCATATTATCAAGGATTAAAGATTAAACAGGAAGA